ATGAAAACGTGATGAGTAGCACTTTCACTCAAGAACAACCTTTATTGATCGCTTCTATATGGATCTTCGAAAGATATAGTCTTGTTTCGTATGTGTTGCGAAAAATGAGTTTTTATTCCGAATTGGGGTAGCATTTTATGCGAATCGTATTCATTCTACATCCACAGCATTTGTTTATTCATCTCAAACATATTCTTCAATGAATGACACTTAATTGATGTAATCGGAATGAAACAAAAAATCCCATTCCAAGGTAGAATTGTTAAACCACTCATTTTGAGAATACATTATATGTTTATCGTAGTTTCCTTGGGACATACATATCCAATGGATTGTGAACGGGATATACACAACGTTATGAGGGTATTTGCTGCGTCATACCACGAATCCAATACAGATAACTGCATGGAATAAGGGGCACCTTTTATCTCCCTGAATAAAACATGTATTGGGGAGAGAACAATAGCGCGAACTTGGTTCAGAAAAGTAGAGATAAGTATAGGAAATGGGGGCTAAATATCATATCTATTTCATTTGTAGTGATTTTTGTTATGGAAATTCAATTTCCATAGTAGTTAATTTTTTTCTCACAAATGAAACTTGAGAAGACATGAGTAAGTAACGTGAGGGGTGATTTTACTAAAGCATGAATCATTTTATATAATCTGTTTTATGGGAACCCGAATATAATAACATGTTAACAGAACACACTCTAGATAGACAACGAATGTGTGAAAATTGGAAACGCCCTGATGGGAGATAACAGACCGGCGGCTAATCGGCTGCGCTGGTTCGTTGTACAAATATTGATATTCGAGTCGTTGTCATCCCTACAAGGTGTTATAATAAATATATAAATTATCCGCACCACTCTGTTGCGTCCTAACTGGGCGTGGCCCATTCTAACGTTCACGGTGTCTATCTAGAGTGTGTATATATGAACTTTGCAAAGGCTCAAAGGTTGTTTAATGTATATCGAGATAATTTTCCAATTCCTTCAAACCTCACACCTTTCCAACTGGGCTACGATCCATATTGGTGAATAATATGAATAGCAAGCTTTCCTCCATCTCTGTAGTAGGTTGATAAGCGTTGAGGCTAGAGCATGATATAGGTTGGGTCGGGAAAAACATCACAAATGTTTACACAAGAATCACATCAATATCTTGTTTTGATCTGATTCTGTATATTCTCGCAATATTTGGAAAGAATATTCTCAGACTATGTCAAAAAACGACCGCAAACATCATCAGAGATTAGCGTGTTCACTGAAAATTGATCAAATAGAGTTTTTCGGATTGTTTCTCCTATACGTACTTCTTCTGTTGTATTGGGTAAATAAATTTCTGAATTCACTGGGATTATGAGAAAATGAACTCAACCATCAAACCTCGATACAAAAATAGGTTACGAATATCATGATTCAAGTTTCATTACAGAAATCTGTCGATTCGAATAACTTGGTGAAACCATCGTTCTGGGAATTCATCACAGATGAAAAGGATTTCTAGATTCAATGCGGAACAGTATTGATTCAACCATATGGCGCTGATGAATGAATAGGTCTAACCAAATATCTGTTTGGTCATTCTATATAACTTTTTGGACTAACCTTTTCATAGAAGGAAATCTTGATTCGAATGAGTATTTCTTCAAAGCAAGAATCAAGTATCAGCTTGAAACAAGAATAATTATCTATTACCAAGTTAATCTCCCATCATAGTTGAACAATTTTTTTCTTGAATCGAGATATTTCGAGGATGTTACAAATGGATCATACTTTATTATGGGAAGTGTATATTTCTTCAGGAGATCCTAATTTTCTTGTGTCAATGGATTTTCATTCAGAAGGAAATCAAAATACAGCTTACTATCAGAGTATTGATGGTCTCACCATGGAAGTAATGATAGAAACTTTAACTAAAAGGCTTGTACCATAAAACTATATTGTATAATACACAGAGGGCTCCTATGACCAAGAATAGGAAGAAAAGTACGAATGAATATAAGTCGATGAATGTCTCCCAAGGAAGCTACGCCCCCCTGGAAGGGATCTCCTGAAGATGATATTTCTTGAATATTTCCGGAATGACATGTGATGCAATTTGGTACAAAAAATAATGAACTATCTATGCCCAATTCAGTATGAGAATCAAATTATTCCAGAAATGCATTCAGGAGTGAATGATTCAGGGTGTGACTACATACAAATATTGATTATACTTTTTTGCATGTATATTTTGCGACAATTTGATCTCGGCTAATGAAAACCCATACCTCTCCACACAAAAAATTGTGCTGCTATTCTGTATCGATCAGATGTATGATTTTTCATTTAAATCATTTTCATCCTCATTCTCCAATAAGAAGCACCTCTATGACATCGTTTCGTGAAAAGAATGTATATGATTACCCACTTTGATTGAATTTTTTGATTTTTTTTCGATATAACTCGAAAACGATACATCTAATCGATGTGGGACTGGAGTACCTTTATTTTTGTTGAGAGTTGTAGATTTGCAGTATACGGGATCAAATTGTCGAGAAATTTGTAGCCAAAAAATGTTTTGCAATATTTGATGTATATAGTCCCATCGTGTATTTTCCACTTCTGAATGTAATTTTGGAATGACCACTTCCGAATGTAATTTTGGAATGACTTTCTTCTCACTTTATTAGTCTTGAGAAGTTCAGTCCTTGTACCAAATTGCATCATTCAATGATATGGCGCTTCGGAAATATCCAAGAAGTATCATCTTCAGGAATCTTCTTCCAAGGGGCCGGAGACATTTATCGACTCATGTTCATTGTAACTTTTCCTATTACTTTTGGTCGTGAAAGCCGCTAGTGGAGTTTGACTGGATAATTCCGGGATATCCTGTATATATGAAAACATACATCATGGTAAAATCATCAGATACTGTCTGTAGGTGGATCTTGGTGGTAGAATATGGACTCTCCTAGATTTTTATGATTCGCTGTCTTGGTCGCTCCTTCCCCAAAATGTCACTGTGATTGAATGTGTGCTTGAATATAAAAACCCGAAAATCTACAGAATAGATTAGAGCCACCATTCCATAATTTACAGAGTGGCAAGTTAAATAGAAATCACTATTCTATGAAACTTTTTCCAGAAGAAACAACATTTCCATTCAACACAAAAATAAGAAATGTAATGTCATCAAGACAATCAGATATTTTCTGGTTACCAGAAATTTTGCGTTTGAGAAAAGAGCATGTATGAAATTTATGAAATGTAAGTAGACATATACTGATAAACAGATTTCTTCTTATCGGCTCAATCATTCCATCAGAAATCGAGTGAGAAATATACAGTGAATGGACAATTATCTATATCTATACCTATTAGGGCGTTTATCGAATGAATACGACTGGTCAAATCGTCACTGCTGAACGAATGTATTGTACTGATTATACAGACACGGCTATCGAAAGTGATGTGTATTTATAGTTAAGTATCGAGGTTCTCAGCAAGTTTTCGTTAAAATAAGAAGCGAAAACACCTCAGTACAACTATGTTACAAAAATATACGAAGTTCATAGTTCGTTCCTGTTCAATCCAATTCAATTCCTAGGTATACCCACACGTATTCAAAAATATTATTATCCAGCACACCGTCTTCATCTATAGGCCTCAGACGCAATGACAAATGGCAACTTAACGGGTCGAATGGGCGCCAGGCGTTGTGTTGCACCCCACCGCTCGATACGTCAAAGCAGATCTTCAAGAAAAGCAAAGATTTTCTTGAGCCAACATGAATTGAAATTCATGTCACTTGTAGTCATAGTTTCCTTGAATGAAGAAATATACTGTTCATGTCGAGCAAATTCAAATCAATACATTTCAAAAAACGATGCAAGCAAGCCTATTGATTTGGGACAACTGTAAGATATCCTCATTATCTGTGAACTCTTATTCTATTTTTGTAGTGCAATATTTCAAAGATTTCCACGGAAAGAAAACACCTCAAGTGTTTCCACCAATATTATATTCTCTTTGCTTTTATCATTCTCGATGTCACTCGACAAATTCCTTATTATTTTCCTCATTCATTAAAGTTCTCGGATCGTCGCCACCAGTCAACTTACCTGCCCTGCAGCGTTGTTGGCTGTGCAAACAAGCCGATGGAAGATAAAGTGTAAAAGGCAGCGAAAGAAAATTAACATAATTAAAAAGATGGCAACTCTCGCGACAACCCATTACGAAACGAAGTGGAATAGCAATCGTGTTTCTCAAGGCGTTTCCAGTAAATAATGAGACATTCTCCAGAAATCACGTACACACGATGAAATGCGTGAGATTTAAGAAAATATAAATCATTTTCAATTTTAGATATGTACGATTAGTCCTGAGAGACTTTGGAACCATTAAAATGAAAATTTCAGCAAACAAGAGATTGCTGACGAATCCATGGTCCATTCATTCTATCGATTGCATATACACTAGCAAACATTGTCAGTGGCAAGAAGTACCCGCTGATTACTGTTACTATGCTATGATACCTATTACTTCTACATACATCAATTTAACTGGTAGCTAATAGATATAATAGAATCAAGCTAGTATTGGTTTTGCGGTATTGAAGAATCAATGGGCCGGTATTTTTATGGAAGATCAAACAATGATTCAAAGATATAATATAATACTATAATTTTGTCAGGCAGTTCGAGTCTACTTCAAGATGCATCTTTTGTGGCAATTGTTCGGTGACGTTCGAAACATTTTGGGAGTTGTCCTTACCGATACCACATCGACCAGGCCAACTCAGGTTGTCACATTGTTCGGACTCGTTCACCAGTGTTGAGATTTCAGACGGCGAGAAGGAACTCAAATAATGAAAAGTCATTATTCATCCACAAATTCGCTTAAATTTTGGTTATACATTCGAAACGTTTCTCGCAGACTGAAGAGTTTAGTGAGAAAATGAACACAATTGTCGACTTTCCTTTGATCTTCTTGTCCTCACAATCTGTACGCTATGTCGAATCATTATGGTACCACCTGCAGCCAACACAAGACAGCCTACAGCAGACATATAAATATATATATACTTGAATTTGGCAATTGCGTTGAATCCTTCACCAACAAGAGACAAGAGGTTCACCACAAACACAAATCCAACTACGGAGTTCAAGACGCCTCAACTGGTGATAACAGATCCAAAAACAAAAAACGTGATAGTGATTTAGTGAAGGGCTATCACACCGTAGATGATCCCGATGGCATCCTTCGTACTCTTGACTATACCGCTGATGACATGTTCACCCTCGGGTTCAACACAGTCGTGGAGAAGCAAGAAACTCCAATTTATCCAGCTCCAGCTGCATACTCTGCCCCAGTACAGAATGTACACTTTGTCCAAGTGCATGATGTATACTCTGCCCCACTTGCACATGCTGCTTCATGACGTGTAGCCGAGTATGTGCACACTGCCCCAGCCGTTCATTCTGCCCCAGCTCACTACCACCATCAACTCCTGTGGAAAGAATGAAATTGATCCAAAAATTATTCATTATGTCATGATTATAAATATATTACTATTTATTCATTGCGAATAAATAATCATTCTATATCAATACTCGTATACTGGTAGAAGTGTGAAACTCAGGCACGACAGCAACAAAAGTCTCTTATAGACTATTTCCGAACCTTGCGAGCTCCAATGTATTGAGAGTGATAATATGGTTTGCACCAGAGAGCTGGCTATATGACACCTTTTTCAGGTATCGTTCATCAATTTTGTCCCAAAAGTTTCTTGGTTGTTCGTTGAAGGCTAGTAGTATAGTCACCACCGTTGGGGCTCCTCTCAGTATCATTTACAATTCGAAAACGAGCAGCAATCAATATTCCTTCAACTGATGATATTTATTATGAAAATTTGACGGAACAGGTCAATTAATATATCAAGGTATAAAACTTTTGGGGTATTTGTTGTTTCATTTCATTCAACACCTCCACCGTCAGGGCAACTACCCCTTGAATTGCATATGACACCTTCAATCATTTTGCTATTTCTCAAATCCTCAGGTGTTACTATAGATGAGTAATCCTATTTTAAAATGTTAGGCTCCAAAATTGCAATACTCAACCTTGCCAATTTTTAGATTGTGATTCATTATGATGATGATGAAAATTGAATACTGACCTAGCTGATTACTTGATGATTGTTCAAAATGGACTCCATTGTACTGTAAAAATAATTATAGCCGATATTTCATCAGAGACCTTCAAGAAGGTCCGCGAATGACAGAGATGGATTGATAATCCCATATTATTTGATCAAAAAAAAAACAAGAATCATGAAATAGTTAGAGAGATATCATTCCAATGACTTTTGAGAATCTGCAACTTGCTATATCTTCAATAAGAGAAAATTGCATCGAATACTAGCTCGAACATATTATTCATTCTTTCAGGTACCAAGCGAAAAATTCCACTTTCCAAACTATCTAGTTGACTAAGTTGACCCTTCATACCACACCAATCAAGAGTGTTTTATCCGAATATAGTCAGCTAACCAAGATACGGTATATGCAGGTGACCAATCTGACTTATCAGAGCTATTTAGCCAGCTCATTTTCACAATTATCATTTCACACCAACCGATGTTCGATTATTTTCTGCTCTCGACCATTTCAACTGTACTAAAGACCCATCATTCTACAATATTGTATTGGGACTCAGTCCCCCTTCCGGTTCAGGCTTGTTTAGGAAAGTCACAGCGGAATAATTTCCCATGTTTGGATAATCCCACGAACACGAATAGTAATTTGTTGATCCATGCTCCTCAAAAAACTTTCAGTTCTCAACTCCGGAAGAAGTATCTTCGAGATGCATTATCATGAAATTAACATCCTATTTTCGTTTCCAGCAGGAATATAAAGTGGTCTCATTCCTGATCCGGTATATTTATTTTTACGATTACAACCTAGGAAATGGCTTTGTTTCTGTAGCCCATTCTTGCCATAATGTCAAATAGCACTTTACATATTCCTTCAGTAATGCTCAGACGGTAATAGGATCAACACGATTCAGTATGAGGCAAGGTGCAGAAAAACTGAGCATCGTGTTTCATCAAAGTCAAACCATATTTTGAATGGAATCTCATTGAATGGGTTTTCACATCCTGATGCTATTTCAACCTGTAGATTGAGGATCAACATAACCAAAATATCAAGAATTTATTTCTTCTTACAATTAGAATTGAATATACAAGTGTTAGAAAATTATAATGGTATTCTGCCATTGGAACTCACAAATTCACTGTTGGTTACCCAGGAGAACCAACTTGCTGTAATACATACGCTGCGATGATGATTTGTAAAAAAACCCAATTCGATTTCTCAACAATTATATTGGTGTGGAACTTTCACATCTTCCTAGTAGCAGAGTTATAACCGATTATTATTCTCAAGGTCACGAATGTTTTTGTTGACAGAAAATCATCTCGAGTCGAGGACATAAAGAACATCAAACAGAGTTTCCTGAGCTTTGCTAGATATCCAAACATTGATAAATTTGGCTTTTTATACTCATCCACGATTCGCGGTAGTCAAGGTCGTCATCTGAAACCTACGTGAAAACATGTCTTACTTTCAATCTGGCCAGGAGATAAAAATATTTTCCCGTAGTTTTCATGTCATCGCAACGTGAAATGATGACCTTGACTAACGCGAATTGGATGCTGGTGCTGATCGAAGATTCCACACTTATTCTGACCTCGTTGTTGGAATTATATATTTTGGAATGGCTTTGTTGTGATATCTTACCCTCGATCTAACCATATGAGATTCGAACAACGACTAAAGAATGAAAAATATTTTTCAATTAGATAAATGACATCGAAAGTTTGATTAATAATTCCATGAAAATACTGGTCTAGATTATTATTTCCATTTTTATGGAATCAACAACGACGAATTGAAATATAGAAAATATCTTTTCACTCATGAATAATCATCTGTTCATCACTATTTGCTGCTGCTGCTGATTACCGCCATAACTGGAAATTAGTGAAACCTCCTATTCAGACGTTATTGGCTACAAGGAACAAAATTCAGATCAACATCCCAAATCATATTATGCGAGACCTCATAGACTATTTTCCATACCGAATTTAAGTGACTGTCGATTGAGATTTCTGCTGTGGCATTCCGGGACGAATCATCTGATTCGCTCTAATGAAATAATACTTTTTTTTGTTTGTGAAAACGAGAAAACAAAACCCAGAAATCTCAATAACTGTATGAATGCATTTTGACTCAGCCGTTAGATATTCCTCGTTGAAATATGAATCTACATAATATGACAATCATTTCATCATAATATGTAACTGAATGAAGGTTTACATAGAGTGTTTTACTTCATATGCCCACCCGCTGTCCAGTACCTATAAAAATTCATCAATATGATCAGTTTTTCAGAGACAAAAACATCCTTCTGAGGAGTGCAGTGCGTTTTCATTTTACCCATAATAGAAAACGAACTCCATATTATTGTTCCTCGTGCTTTTGCACCCAAATGCCTCCAAATTCAGAATGATTGTTATCTGCGTTCGCAAAAATGATGATTGGATGTGCCGTTCTCTTCGAAAACTTTTGTAATTGTACCTACATCTATATGAACTCCCTCATTGTGAATTCTGCTCCAATCATTGCATTATCACAATCGACTATAACAAATTGCCAGTTGAACATTCTTTGAATCCTGAGGTAACTGTTTCACGTGCAATGGCAACCAACTTTCTTTTTTGGCAAGACTGAAACGTCAGCTCCAGTATTGATTAGAAAATTATACTTTGTAAGTGGATCTTGAATAAACAGGCGAAATGATTATCCAGAATGACACGCCGTCAAGTACTCAAGGAATCATGAAAAATCTTCAAGATGTCATGCATTAAATCAAACCAAAACCTGAGTCTGATCACAGTACAAAAAAATTTTCGTCCTCAAAGAACTCAAATATATTGTTCACATGAATTTATACGAATTGATGCAGGTAAAAAAAAACTCTAGTTTCTCCATATTCAGGACCATACAAAGTACGGAATAGAATAGAATAGAATAGAATATTCATTTCACCAATTTACAAATATTATGTTTTTGGCAAGTCAGGTACAAAGGACATATTAAATGTAGTAGATAATAAAAAACAAATTGAAAGTATGCAGAATGAAGTCATACACGTACATCTCTGGCAAATAAAACAGACTTCTACAGTGACATGTACCACATATAAAACAATAATTCGAGAGGACTTATTTTTCTTCCTCAATTCACAAAAGGAGAGAAAAACAAAATTGGAATTGTAACTTGCAAAGCAAATATGAGCTATATGAACGATGTTTTTTTTCAGTTGTTTTCATAGAGTGAATGATGAATCTGGTGAAGATAAGTATTCCTCAACAGAGTAATAACATAATCTCAGAAAGTGGTCCTTGCTGATGACTTTTTTGAAATATTTGAGGTCAAGGTTGCGCACATATTTAGGTAATTTGTTAAACAAATTCAAATTCAAAGAATTACGTTCGGATACTTCTAGTCGATATCTTTGTGGTCTCAACTTGTCAGAATCCCTCGTTGTTTTTGTGTATCTCTAAAAGAGATTGAAATATGTATAAAGATGGAAATGAAAATATCTTGAGTTTTATGAAAAGTTCTCGACATGGGGTATTATAAGGTGAGTTCGTGATAAGTCGTATGGCGCGCTTTTGCAGACGAAAAACTCGGATTGAGTGTTTTGAGTTCCCCCATAGTATAATAGCATAGTTAATATGTGATTGAAATAAGGCATGATAGGCAGACAGTAGAGAATTAAAATCTAGGTATTTTTTCAGTTGCCTAAGTAGGTACAGTTGGAATGATATCTTCTTGCTCAACATCTCAATGTGTCGTAACCAAGTTAATCCATCGTCAATAGTAACTGAAAAGAAATGAGAAGTATTTTTCTGTCCTGATCAATGAAAAGACGAAGAATATTTCTTTAGACCGTTCAAAACCAGCATTTATGGAAAATGTGGAACCAGAAGGTCACACAGGAAGAGTCGCATACCAATGGAAGAAACGTTGAACTTTGTTCGGATTGATTTGTATTATTATTAGTTTTCAAGAATTCGTTGTCACTAAAGGGGAGGTGTAATGTAGTGGTACCTACATCTATATGAACTACCTGTATGTGACAAAGGGTGTTGACGGAAACGTCATGATTAATAAATTATGATTTCAATCAGAATGTTGAGATTCTTTCATAATTTATATATTACCATCCACACCTTCATGAACATATGAGAATCCATAAATGGTTTATTAGAACAGTTTTCTGTAATAAAATTCTAATATGATTTCATGA